ATTCTAACAAATCCTATGAATGGAACTGAAACAAAACTTTCATCTGAAATAACATTTAGTTGTTTTATGTTGTGTAATTTTAAAACTTGTATTGTGCCAAAGGATGCAGAAATAAAAGTGACGCAATGAATTTTGTTCTGATATATATATATTTATAATTACATGCACATGTAAATTGTAATGCATATAAAAATAAGGAGATGTGGTATGATATTCAGTGAGTTTATCGAACTAAAGTGCATAAGAAATGGGTTTAAGCAGTTACAGGTGTTACTGTCACTGTACAACCTCCAACAATGAGAAAAACTTGTACCGTGTAAAAAATTTCAGAGATCTTACCACTAAGTTTTGTTGTCTCACCTTGACTTTGGTGAATTGTTTATATCTGTTGATGTAAATATAAAAAAGAAGATGTGGTATGATTGCCAATGAGATAACTCTCCACAAGAGACCAAATGACACAGAAATTAACAGCTATAGGTCACAGTATGGCCTTCAACAATGAGCAAAGCCCATACCTCACAGTCAGCTATAAAAGGCCCTGAAATGACAATGTAAAACAATTTCAAACAAGAAAACTAACGACCTAATTTATATACAAAAAATGAACGAATATAACAAATATGCAACACATAAACAAACGACAACCACTGAATTACAGGCTCCTGACTTGGGACAGGCACATACATGTACATACAGAATGTGTCGGGGTTAAACATGTTAGCGGGATCCCAACCTTCCCCCTAACCTGGGACAGTGGTGTAACAGTACAATATAAGAATGAACTATAAAAATCAGTTGAAAGAGGCTTAACTCATTAGATGGATAAATACAAATACAAGTGGACGTGGTCGGGTAGTTGTACATCCAAACAACAAAAAGACACTAAGTACAGATCTGAGAGTACTCGCAGTTACTGACAGCTAGTTCAAAGCCACTAACAACTGATAAAAAAATCTTGCATCTAAGACTAAATTATCAATCCGTAAGCTCCCATTTAGAATTTTATAAATTTTATATTTTACATTTCTGAGTTATGGGGTTTTATTGGGATTTTCCAGTTTTTGTCGAGCCTGCGACTTTTGTCGCAGAAAGCTCGACATAGGGATAGTGATGTGGCGGCTGCGGCGTTAGCTAACTTCTTAAAAGCTTTATATTTTAGAAGGTGGAAGACCTGGATGCTTCATACTTTGTATATGGATGCCTCATGTTACGAAGTTTCCGTCAGCCACATCTCCAATGTCCTTGACCTCATTTTCATGGTTCAGTGACTACTTGAAAAAAAAGTGAACATTTTTTGTAATGTTAAATTCTCTCTTATTGTAAGTAGTAGGATAACTATGTTTGGTATGTGCGTACCTTGCAAAGTCCTCATGTCCGTCAGACAGTTTTCACTTGACCTCAACCTCATTTCATGGATCAGTGAACAAGGTTAAGTTTTGGTGGTCAAGTCCATATCTCAGATACTATAAGCAATAGGTCAAGTATATTTGGTGTATGGAAGGACTGTAAGGTGTACATGTCCAACTGGCAGGTGTCATCTGACCTTGAACTCATTTTCATGGTTCAGTGGTTATAGTTAAGTTTTTGTGTTTTGGTCTGTTTTTCTTATACTGTATGCAATAGGTCTACTATATTTGGTGTATGGAATGATTGTAAGATGTACATGTCTAGCTGGCAGGTGTCATTTGACCTTGACCTCATTTTCATGGTTCAGTGGTCGAAGTTAAGATTTTGAGTTTTGGTCTTTTTTTCTAATACTATATGCAATAGGTCAACTATATTTGGTGTATGGAAATATTTTATGATCTTTATATCAGTCGCGCAGGTTTTATTGGACCTTGACCTCATTTTCACAGTTCATTGTTCTGTTAAGATTTTATACGCCCGTTTATGGGACGTATTATGGTATACCTTTGTCCAACTGTCCGTCCGTCGTCAACATGTGGGACATTAACTCAAAAATGCTTTTACCAATTTGCATAAAACTTTGGTGAATTGTTTATATCTATTGACGTGAGCTCCCTTTCATTTTTTATAAAATTTAGATTTTACGTTTCCGAGTTATGGGGTTTTATTCTTTAAAAAAAGGGGGATTTTCCAGTTTTCGGACAATAAGTCAAGAATGCTTTCACCAACTTGCAAGAAATTGTGGTGAATTGTTAATATCTATTGACATGAGCTCCCTTTCGATTTTTATAAATTTTAGATTTTACGTTTCCGAGTTACAGGGCTTTATTCATAAAAAAGGGGGGATTTTCCAGTTTCGGACAAAAACTCTAAAATGCTTTCAGCAATTCTTATGAAACTTTGGTGAATTGTTTGTATGTATTGATGAAAGTTCCCTTTAGAATTTTATAAATTTTACATTTTACATTTCTGAGTTATGGGGTTTTATTCATTAAAAAAAGGGGTGATTTTCCAGTTTCGAACAATAACTCAAATATGCTGTCACCAATTCTCATGAAACTTTGGTGAATTGTTTATATCTATTGTTGTAAGCTCCCTTTTTATTTTCATAAATTTCTAGTATGACATTGAGAATCAATTGAACTTTATTTGTTTATAGTCTGACAACAGGTTTACTAAGTATTGCACAACAGCAAGAAATCTTTAATTGCATATTCAATTCATATAACCAATTTCAAGATCTTTGACTACATTTATTCAGAAACCTATAATATGTCAAATATTTAATTATAATCCAAATTCAGACCTGAATCAAGCTTGAATATTGTGTCCATTTTTGCCCCAACTGTTCAGGGCTGGACCTCTGCGGGCGTATCTAGTTGTGTTTTGGTCTGTTTTTCTTAAACTATAAGCAATAGGTCAACTATATTTGTTGTATGGAAGAATTGTTAGCTGTACATGCCTGCCTGGCATGGTTCATCTGACCTTGACCTCATTTTCATGGTTCATTGGTCAATGTTTAGTTTTCTTGGTTAATGTTAAGTTTATGTGACAGTTGTAATAAAGCTTTATATTAAGGACTATCAACATAATATCAGTGATTAGTAAAGAAGGCGAGACATTTCAGCGTGTGCACTGTTGTTGGACAACAACTCAAAAATGCTTTAAGCAGTTCGCATGAAACTTTGGTGAATTATTTATAGCTATTAATGTAATCTCCCTATAGATTTTCATAAATTTCAAATATGACATTGAGAAGAAATTGAACTTTATTTGTTTATAGTCTGTCTGGCAACAGATTTATTAAGTATTGCGCAACAGCACAGTTTATTGCACAACAGCAAGAAATCTTTAATTGAATATAAATTCAATTCATATAACCGATTTCAAGTTCTTTGACTACATTTATTCAGAAACTATAATATGTCAAATATTTAATTACAATCCAAATTCAGACCTGTATCAAGCTTGAATATTGTGTCCATTTTTGCCCCAACTGTTCAGGGTTGGACCTCTGCGGGTGTATCCAGCTGCGCTCAGCGAATCAGTTTATTTCTTAATTAAGAACTCCTTTTTTCATTCATAAATTACTTTAAACTTGGAAATATAATTTTGCTTGGAGTTATAGTTTCTAAAAAAGTATTGTCATTGAAAGAGTTGACATGTTGCAATGTACATTTATTCTACATAGTTCTATGGTACCAAATCAAAAGTTTATATAAAAGAAAGAAGTCAAAGGTTTCCCATCACAGTTTAGTTACATACATTTTTTTTGTACCTGAGGTCGTTGAATATAGATCATTATATAAATAAGGAGATGTGTTATGATTGCCAATGAAACAACTATCATCCATACTTACCAGTAACAAACCACATTTGCAGAGAATAAAATACAGTTGATAACATTTACTTATTACTAAAAAGAAAATGCCTAACTATTTTAAACAGTATTTGAATATCAATTATATGGTCATTTTTATAAACTTCCTGTTACAAAACTTTGAATTTTTCGAAAAAGTAAGGATTTTCTTATCCAAGGAATAGATTACCTTAGCCGTATTTGGCACAACTTTTTGGAATTTTGGGTCCTCAATGCTCTTCAACTTTGTACTTGTTTGGCTTTATAACTATTTTGATCTGAGTGTCACTGATGAGTCTTATGTAGACGAAACGCGAGTCTGGCGTATTAAATTATAATCCTGGTACCTTTGATAACTAATTTGACTATAAACATAGATAAAAAAGGTACAAACTGGACATAATGCACAAGTTCATAAACAAGTGAGAACAAACGCCTTCATATAGTGCTCAGAATATGACATTCATAAAACTTGTTCAGTAGCATTAGAGAACTCTAAATCTTAAATACTGAAAGCCACCTCTGATAAGTACACTGTACTATGCAAGATAATGATATAACTGGACTAAAAATACACACAACCTGTAATTAACTGCCTTTACAGCGCTTTCGCGCTTTGATTATTAAAGGTAATCATGCCGGATTCTTCTTCAATAATATTTGAGCAGGTATAATATTTAAATGAAATGACCCTGGATTTCAGTATCTGACCTATTTTCACCAGTATTCTACTTCCATGACTTTTGATGTCAAAATAGCAAAATCCTTCTCTGAAATACTGCAAAATTTTATGTTCATTATAGAACAATTTGAACTTAATTTTCTCTCTAATATTGTTTAACAACTGTAAAACTAATTTTTTTGTTCATTTCATTAATAGAAAGGTAACAATTCACTAATTATCTCGTTAATTATAGCATAAACTGCAAATCTGAAACTTTCAGCTGAAAAAATGTCTTTTGAATTATGACGATATATTTTTACCTAATGCAGGTCATGACATACAATTTCACCTTTAAAGGTCGACAGGTTTGAAAGTTGTATGCAAAATTTTACCAAAATTTGTGAAATAGCCCATTTACTGTTCCTTGACCAAAAACAGATACTCTGAATAATTACCACACAAGTTGAAACCATCTCCCTCTTTACTTTAATGACATACTAGTTCTGTGCATTAAATAAACATGCATTGTTTCAGAGTGTAAGGAGAAAATGTTATTTATATTTTTAGACATCCTTGCCATGGTAACATAGGAGTCAATGATATCAAAGTCAGACTGGCACAGTAAGTTATAAAATGAAAATGTATTACATTTATAAGAATCAGAAGTGTTTAAATTCCCCAGATATTAGTTTGGATAACAGATCCAGCACAAATTTTAGTCATAGTTTGTGTCTACCATGAAGTTTTAGATATTGGATGAGTGATCTTTTGGGGTCATTTACTGATCCCCAAGAAAATAAGCAATAAGATTAGTTGATGTATGGCAAATTGAACCAGCATGTGTTAATTAAAAATTTGAAGAATAACATTTCATGGCTTTTTAAACAATTTTATAAACCTAATAAAAAAAACTTCAGTAAACATGATAAATTTCTTACAAAAGGAAGCTGTATACAACTACCTATTATTGATAGATGAATTGAAAAGTAGAATAGGATTCAAATTGACTTATTAATCTTTTGTGACATTAACTTGTAAATAGTCCATATTACTGTGACTTGACTATAGGTGTTGCTGTTTACCTTTACCTATTGTTTAACCAGATTGTAAAATTGACAATACAATAGGCACATTTAAATTGACCAGTTGGTATTTATTGTTAGAGTTGATGAATAGAGTCTACCTTGATGCTGTCCCATCACTTCAGCTGTTCAATTGTAACTTATAGTGTAACTGGGGTAGGTCTTTCAAAAGTTATTCAGGCTTCAATGTTTATCTTTGTCAATTAACATAACATGCATACAGTTTAAATAGTATATATGATTTAAATGCAGCTAGAGTGAGGCCACAAAATGCAAACTTATTCCATGTTGTAATATTTGAAAAAAACTTCTGATTAAAAAAAAAATACCCATATTTTTCATTAGAGAATCCTAAAAGAAGTTATGAAATAAATAGTGTAGTTGCAGTCTTTTTTTCCATTGAAATAGATGTATTCCTTGAAGCACTTGGCCATACAATTGCCAAAGAAATACAACAGTTAGAAGGAAAAAAGAGAGATTTTTATTTTTTCTGTCATTTCAAATTTTAGGAGTGAGCAAGCCAGAAGGAGAACGTATATGTTTTTTTTTGTAGGGTATCCAATTGCATGTTGTCTAATGAGCTACATTTCCTTTCTTAATGTTTGCAGTCAAATACTATGATTGCTTGGATTTCTTTTATATTGTTGAAAATACCTCTTTTATCTCTTTGGCTTTTCTAATGGGAGATAACTCAAAATAATTGTTTTTTTTTACTCCTGTGGAAATCTGAATTATTTTATAATTTCCCTTAATTTTCCAGGATGAATAAACACTGGTGTGCATTCTTTCATTTAGACATTTGCTAAATGCTTATTGACATGAGCCTTGTACAAAGTGTTTATGCATAGTGAAATATCAAAATAATAGTTGTGAAGGAACAATTTTATATATTTATTGACTTTGATATTTGATATCCAGTATTCCAGTTTCACTATTTGTATTATTTTGAAATATTTTCCTAATTTTATTCACTTTTTGGAATATTTTCTTACATTTTTTACTATATCAACAGTATTCTGTTTAATTTCTTATGATATATATCCCAATTAAACAGGTGCAGAGTCTTTATGTTGGATCCAGAATTTTGTAATTTTTGATTATTTCCAATATCACATTCAAAATAGTTATCCTCACTTTACAATTTTTTTTTTATATTTTAATTATATTTCTCACTATATCACTTGATTTTACTATATCCACAGTATACAGTTTTTATTTCATTTCCCAGGATATACATGTATATCTTAATCAAACATTGTAAGATCTAAAATTTTATAATGATTATTTCCAATATCACATTCAAAATTGTTATCCTCACTTTATGAATTTTTTTTAGAATATTTTACTTTTATTTTTCACCTTATCACTAGATTTGACTACATCCACTGTATTCACACTTTATTTCATTTTCTATGATATATATCCCATTTAAACAGGTGAATCATCTTCATATTAGATCCAGAATTTTATAATGATAATTTTCAATATCACATATAAAGCCACATTTACATGTTGGATGAACTAATTTCTCCTACTTGCATTCCAATTTTGAACTTTTTGTTACCTTTTAGATGAACTAAATCCTATTTTATATAAAGTGAATTTCCTTGATTGAACACAGCATTTTTATGCACAAAAATCCTAATAAATTTCAATGAAAAACACTTCAAGCTATATTCCAAAATTATTTTCAATTTTACATGTACATCATCATGTGAAAGCCACACAAAACATTTTGAATGAATTATTTCCTCCTTGATACATTCATGACAATCCATTCTTGAAAAAACAAGTCACATTTTAGGAAGCAAAACTAAATGGCAACTTGAAGAAGTGAATTCAAATAAAAAATATCCCAATATTTTATGCACATTGATTCCAATAGATTTCAAACACTGCAAATAATACTCCAAAATGATAAGTTTGAAGGGATATATGAAGAAATGCACAACATATTCATCTGAATTATATCAAAGATAAACTGAAACTGAAAACACCTGAATAGCTATTTCTTGTTTCACTGACAACTGGACAATACTATGTATAAGGGTTAAACATTTAAAGATTCATTTATTATGTAAAACCAGTTTTAATTTCCATACATGTTAACTTGCAGTAAAAAAATCTTTCACTGATTTAGATTTTTTGGGTCAAAATTAGATGAATCATCTCCTGTGGATTCATTATTTTCATGGGTATCAATTTTCGTGGATTGAGGAAAACTTGCATTTTAGTGGATATTTGATTTCGTGGTTTTGCCAATCTCTGCATACAAAGCCTATAGCAAATTTGTAATTCGTTGAACATTTGAATTCGTGGTTCACCTGTACCCACGAAACCCACGAAAATTGGTATCCAACAAATAATAATGAAACCGCAGTATATTGGAGATTTGAAACATTGAAAACAAATAATATTTCCTTCCCTATTAAATTTAATAATAGAATAACCCTAGGTGAAGAAAAACTTCAGGAAAAAAGCATGCTGTATGGTTGTCTAGGTGAATAAAAAACAGTGCAGGTAGCATCAAGGTAATCAATTCTAACAATACCAATTGGTCAATTTAAATGTCGCAATTGTATTGTCAATTTTACAATCTGGTTGAACAATAGGTAAAGGTAAACAGCAAAACCTATAGTCAAGTCACAGTAAGCAAATTTGAAGAAATTTTAAAAAAAGGTGCAACTCTTTCTTTAATTGATCAAATTAATAATATAGTTTGTTTGTCTTTGTCTGTTTTTGGCATAGAATTTATAAATTTAACATTAATAGTTCATTTGTATGTTAATTGATTATCTCTCCCACATTTAATGTTAACAGAAAATTTTGTTGAATCTTAATAAAAAAAAAATTACCTACTCTCTTATATATTGAGTTACCTACTTCCTGATATATTGAGTTACCTACTTTCTTATATATTGAGTTACCTACTTTCTTATATATTGAGTTACCTACTTTCTTATATATTGAGTTACCTACTTCCTGATATATTGAGTTACCTACTTTCTTATACATTGAGTTACCTACTTCCTGATACATTGAGTTACCTACTTCCTGATATATTGAGTTACCTACTTTCTTATATATTGAGTTACCTACTTCTGATATATTGAGTTACCTACTTCCTGATATATTGAGTTACCTACTTCCTGATATATTGAGTTACCTACTTCTGATATATTGAGTTACCTACTTCCTGATATATTGAGTTACCTACTTCTGATATATTGAGTTACCTACTTCTGATATATTGAGTGATTAAGTGGTACATAAATATATATTCAGCACATTTTCTCATATGCATGTACTTTGATGCTGTGAGTACATAATACTTACACTTTTTCTATTCAACTATATAAATGCAATAGCAGGGATGGATCCAGGATTTTAAAAATGGAGCTTCATTGAAAATTTGCTTTATAGGGGCTGTGAAAAATCAGAAAAATTCACTATAAAAATATAAGTTTTTGGACACAAGGCGTCCCAGGCCACATCTGCTCAGGACCTGCCCTGAATAGAGATTTCAGATATGCACTTGTCAGCAATTCATTTAGCTAATGGTAATACTTTTTTTACTAGTTCCATGCAAAGTTCGGAGAGGGGTAAGAAAATTAATGCTGCTGTAACACAGACAGGAAAATTTGTGGGTAAGTAGATAAATTTGATTAACTCAATGAAGTAGAGGCAAATTTATTAATTAATCTACATGCATTTTTGTTTGTTTGTTGAAAGTCATGCGGTTCATTATGCAATGACACTGGAATGCTTAAGTAAACACCATCTCTTCAGTGCATAACTGACAAAGTCAATCATATACTAGTAGATAATGTGCACATTGCCATCTTTATAAGAAAAAAAACCTTGGTCTAATATCATAATGGTGATAGGTTGTAGTGATCTTTATTGTGAGGTTGAACCAGACCACCTGTCAATAAAGACCTCTGTAAATCTTAATTGATGTATACTCCTATGATCATATCGTGGAAGCAATATTCTATTTTGAATTAAGTTGTTTCTACCTGCATTCCTTTCATGAATTGGTGAATCCTGGAACAAAAGGTTATATATCAGGTTGTAAATGGGTAGGCACATACCTACCTAGTGAAGAATTTAATGTATAAGTATTGCTGTATATATAATTCATTACAACAGGGGATACAATAACTTAAGCTACATCAATTGTTATTAATATAGAATTATCAATATATCTGTAATTATTTTGACAGGAGGTGCCATAACACAGGCTAAATCAGCTGTGAGTTCATGGTTCAGTAACTTTACTCAAGAATGGAAGAAGGAAGAGAAATCCCAACCAGAATCTTAGCTTGTATACTCTTGTTATAAAACCCTCACATGGCTAGCATGATTATCTCAACATTTATAATTGACAGAAAATGTGATTTTAAATGAAGAAACAGTTATATTTTAGCATGATTGAACTAGACTTCAATTCATGAGACAGCATTTGGGTGACAAACTGTCTTTATAATATCATTGTACATTCCATTACATGCTAATTTATATCTATAGTGGTATCTTAGTTTAAGTCATTCAAACAATTTTTCTGTTTCTCAGACTTCCATATTACAAAGTTTGTAAAAAAGCATGTACTTTCATATTCAGTGTGTGAAACCTTTTTTTCTTAGAACTCGCCAATTTGGCGAGCAGCTTTTCATTTCAACTCGCCAAATTGAAATCCCACTTGCCAGCTTGGCGAATTCCCAAAATTTTTAAAGATTATTTTGGTGAGCTTTTCCTTCCTTTCGTGTTATTTAAAAGCTGAATAAATAGGCTTCTTATTTTTCCATGTTGTTCTATTAAATATCCATTATTAAGTCTCCCAAACGAAGTTTGGGAAGACTTATTGGTTTTGCTCAGTTCTTCTTCTTCTTCTTCTTCCTCTTCCGCCACTTTTAAATTTGAACTTGTCCGCACCCGTTCTCCAAAACCGCTTGTCAGATTAACTTAGGGTTTCACATATGTTAGACTAACATGTCTAGTGGTGCAATCAGGGTTTTGTTTGTGCAATGGGGTTTATAAAGAGGTACTTTGAGGGGCAATAAGAAAGGAGGGTTTTACTATAGAACCCTATGGGATTTTATTTTTTTTAAATTTTCAAATGATTATAAATTGAAAACCGTTTGTGATAGACACAATCTTTTTAATTGAAAATGTTCTAAATGATAAAACACATTAAATGAAATACAGGGTTAGTCCCCAGGGGTCACCCCCACCCCCAGCCATTTAAGAAAGTTCTAATAACTTGTAAGTGGTCAAGATCCCCACCCCTAAACCATATATATTCTGGTTTGTCATGCTAAGATGGTTTGAATGATATACAGGGTTAGTCCCCAGGGGTCATCCCGACTCCCTGCCATTTGAGAAAGTTCTAATATCTTGTAAGTGGTCAGGATCCCCACCCCTAAACCATATATATTCTGGTTTGCCATGATGAAGCACATCAAATGAAATACAGGGTTAGTCCCAAGGGGTCACCCCAACCCCCTGCCATTTAAGAAAGTTCTAATATCTTGTAAGTGGTCAAGATCCCCACCCCTAAACCATATACATTCTGGTTTGTCATGATAAAACACATCAAATGAAATACAGGGTTAGTCCCCAGGGGTCACCCCCACCCCCTGCCATTTAAGAAAGTTCTAATATCTTGTAAGTGGTCAAGATCCCCACCCCTAAACCATATATATTCTGATTTGTCATGCTAAGATGGTTTGAATGATATACAGGGTTAGTCCCTAGGGGTCATCCCGACCCCCTGTCATTTGAGAAAGTTCAAATATCTTGTAAATGGTCGAGATCCCCACCCCTAAACCATATACATTCTGGTTTGTCATGATAAAACACATCAAATGAAATACAGGGTTAGTCATCAGGGGTCACCCCCACCCCCTGCCATTTAAGAAAGTTCTAATATCTTGTAAATGGTCAAGATCCCCACCCCTAATTCATATATATTCTGGTTTGTCATGCAAAGATGGTTTGAATGATATACAGGGTTAGTCCCCAGGGGTCACCTCCACCCCCTGCTATTTAAGAAAGTTCTAATATCTTGTAAATGGTCGAGATCCCCACCCCTAAACCATATACATTCTGGTTTGTCATGATAAAGCACATCAAATGAAATACAGGGTTAGTCCCCAGGGGTCACCCCAAACCCCTGCCATTAAAGAAAGTTCTAATATCTTGTAAGTGGTCAAGATCCCCACCCCTAAACCATATATATTCTGATTTGTCATGCGAAGATGGTTTGAATGATATACAGGGTTAGTCCCTAGGGGTCACCCCCACCCCCTGCTATTTAAGAAAGTTCTAATATCTTGTAAATGGTCAAGATCCCCACCCCTAAACCATATATATTCTGGTTTGTCATACCAAGATGGTTTGAATGATATACAGGGTTAGTCCCCAGGGGTCATCCCGACCCCCTGTCATTTGAGAAAGTTCTAATGACTTGTAAATGGTCGTGATCCCCACCCCTAAACCATATATATTCCTGTTCGTCATGTCTCGAACATTTGAATGACGTTTAAGGTCAGTCCCCAGGGGTTCCCCCCACCCCCAATGTTCTAGTATCTTGTAAATGGTCGAGATCCCCATCCCTAAACCATATATATTCTGGTTTGTCATGCCAAGATGATTTGAATGATATACAGGGTTAGTCCCCAGGCATCACTAATGCATATAACTTTACTGGACCAAACCAATTTTCACTGGACTTTGTCCAATGTCAGGCGACCCTTGGAATTACGAATTATGGGAGCTTCGTTTGGGAGACTTCGTAACAGCATCCTGTTACAATCATTTCTTGTTAGAATTAAGTTTTTGTTTACTGTTATAGGAAATTTACTCTCGATTCAATCTTCAAAACATATTTTAAAATTACATTGACAACATGCAAAAAGAAAGTGAAAGTAAATTTCTATGTCTATAAAACACGTTTTGATTAGTTTAAGTTTTTCATACAACTGTCATCTAGCCAGTCAGAACACATGTAACATAATATGTATCATCTGGGTTCCTGTTTAAACAGAAGTCATGGATAACAGTATAGATTTTGCGGGAAAACGATCTTTTTGCTTGTATGATTCAAAATCGCTGCAGAAGAGTCACTCGCCACAAGGGCGAGTTCTATTGAATCTGGACTCGCCAAGTACAATTCTTACTCGCATTTGGCGAGTTGGCGAGCGGAGGTTTCACACACTGATATTTCTGTTTTATATTGGTTATTTTTAAATAGGTTGATTTCATAAAGTATTGTGTTGTACAGACAACATTCAATACCTTTAATGTTACACAGTACATCATGTCTTATTGGCAGTATTGCTGCTCACACACACACTTTACTTGCGTAGGAGCCAGGGGGCAAGGGGCAATCCCCTAATTTCAAAAGTGGCAAAAAAAATATTGAAAACTTACACTCAAAAGTACCCCACCCCACTTTTCAGTCTACTCATATGCCTCTGCCCTTACAGCAAACCTAAATGATGCATGGATTGTTATATTGTGTTTAGAAACTACTGATAAAGAAGCAAAACTACTGATTACTTGAAAGTAAAGTACTGATGACATAGAGTTGGGATTAACAAGTTAGGAAATTCCCTATATGAGTTGAAAGTCCATTTTGATGAATGTAGCATTTTTTTCCTCAATTGATTAATTTTTGCTAAAACTTCCAGGAGTAATTATGGGGTAAATTGAACAATGATTTAAATAAAGTTCCTGTAATGTGTCAAGAGTGTGGCACTTGTGCATGAAAAGACTGTGTACTAATTAAAATGAAAAAAACAATAAAATATTCAAATGAAAAAACAAAAACTAAAAAAGACCATGACTTTACAATACAATAATTTATGAGATGGAATAGGGTTTGAGAAACAGAACAGTTTCTTGTATGGTCTTATGGGAGCTTATGTATAAAAATATGCAGTGTTCAGTTATATGTACCTAACATTAGTCTATGAAATTAGTTTTGTATTTATTTATTTTTATAAACAGTTGACTTGCGAATATGAAAAAATGTTAAATTGCAAAAACCTATGTGATGACCATATGTTATCAAGTGTTTAATGAATCTTAGAATTATTGTTGTCAATAGCTGTTATGAAACTACCCAGTTTTTTTTTAATTTTCAGATTTGGAAAGATTTTGACTCATAATGTTTTAGAGACTTTTGAACTAACCTTTTAATCAATGGAAATTACTGTGATTACAAATAAATCTAACTTAAAATGGTATTCTTACAAAGAAATCTAGACTGAATCACTTTGTAGACATGTATTTAAACTCTTTCCTTGTACTTACATTCACATTAGAGTATGACATACAGACACTATTTTAAAAAAAAAAAAAATCAATTTCTGTACAGCTTGACTTGCCATAAAAAATGAGTACAAACATTATTTAGTCCTGTTGGTTGTAAATGTAGTTCTCAGGTAATCCAGTTAATAATGAAATTAAAACTGTTATTTTTTGAAGGTTATTGTTCTGGATAACATGACTTTTCACAACTTCACTACTGATGAAAATTCAGACAGCACTCTAAAAATTTGTGAAAATCTCATACAAAATCATTATCAACTTTTGTTTTAACTGGAACTGATAAAACCTATTACAGACAAACAGCAATTAATAGTTCAGTCAGAAGTAGTGACTACCTGAATGATATAACCCTATACCACAAACTATTATATTAAAGAAAGAACATTTCCTAATGATATGAACTGCTCCACATTTTATCTTCAACACTCAGGCATGCCATAATGTATCTTTAAAATGTCAGGTAGAAATATGTTGAGGTATTTAACCAATTTTAACTAGTTTAACCCTGACAAATTAAGAACTGTTTAATATTCCATAGTATGTTTACTCTCCAGTATACAAATGCTTTTCCAAAGATACAAAGATAGCATAATATAGAAATAAGATGTGGTATGATTGCCAATGAGACAACTCTCTAGGGCTTTCAACAATGAGCAAAACCCATACTGTACAGCAAGCTATAAAAGGCCCAGAAATGACAAATGTAAAACAAATCAAACGTGAAAACTTTAGGCCTGATTTATGTACAAAACAAAAAACAAATATGATATACAGCAACAAATGACAACCACTGAATTACAGGTGCCTGAGTAAGGACAGGCACATACAGAATGTGGTGGGGTTAAACATGTTGGGGTGCTCCTAACTATTTACAATAAGGTGTAAATTTACAATAAGGTGTAAATAAAACTTTTTTTTCAGTATGATGGGTCTTCTATTTTAGAGTTATGGCTCTTTAAAAATTAGCAATTTTGCAATTTAGATGGTTTCCTGATAATGACTATAGTTTGCTAATGACTTCTAATAATGGTCAGATTTTCGTTTAAGCATAACAATATTTCAAGGTTTAATAGGTGAAATGTTCTTAAAAATATTAAAATCAGCGGAAATAAATGGCTTCTGGACACAGGCACTTGTATTTGAAAAAAGAAAAATTCCTATATACCTTAATATAACACAAGGTACTGAACTCGCAGTAACAGTAACAGTTAACATAATAAAATGCATCTTAAAATTTATTTCAACATGACTCGTGTAACTGTTCCATTTTTATTTCCCTTGACAGACTAAATTTTCTTATATCTTTATTTCTAGGCTTTGTTTAGTGAGAAGGCTTCCTTTTTTTTAACGACAATACAGCTGGTTGGAAATTATGTCTCTCTGATTAAAACTAACTAAATTTAGAAAACTTTTTTCGTGTTATTAGGCTGTTCAGTATTTAGGAAACATCTGTAGACTGTGTCATAAATTATCTTATTGTTTTTATATAGAGAGATAGAGTTATTAAATTTGTTAGAAATACTGCTGTGTGAAAGTTATGCTGAAAAATAATTAATGATGTTATTTGTTCTTAAACAGTACAGGGATTTGTCCGTTTTAAAATATCAGAAAGTGTTTATACTTGCATAATATTTTTGTTGACCCTTATTCAATGCTGTTCATGTACATGCCTTTATCCAGATGGAAGAAGATTGTAATGGAAATGAGAAATATGAAATAAACAGCAATACAAAGTCTATTGTATTTCAGTCCTACAAAAATAGAAAACAGTACACTTTTCAAAATTATGCATCCTATTGGAATACTTGACACATTTTAATTTGTTGAAATGTTATAATTGTAATTGTTGGGTTTGGTTTATTGTAATCTAGAAAAAAATAATGTTGATAGAAGTGTGTAATAATGTGGAACTTTTCTTGAAAAGAATTGTATATTGATTATTTAATCAAAATGTGTGCAATATGAACTGATGTTATGTATACATATTTATGTTTGTTATCAAGTTGTGTATTCATTATTATTTAATTATCTTTGCAAATCTACAATTAAACCATTGAACTTCTTTATAATATTTTCATGACTTGTGTCTCTTCTGTCAATCACAAAAAGAGAAACAATGCAATGTTAGGTCAGTCTAACCCAGTATCAAGCTCTGGAGTGTGGTGGATACATTTAAAGTTGTATATGATGACAAACCAACATGGCAGCTATTGTTTTCAGCATTGTTCTTGGAAATTTCAAACATCATCCTGGCATAGAAGGAATTTCAAGCAGTATCCTGGCATAGAAGGAATTTCAAACAGTATCCTGGCATAGAAGGAATTTCTAACAGCATCCTGGCATAGATGGAATTTCAAGCAGTATCCTATAAAGGAAACCGTAGATAAATTCATTTCTGATTGTATTATGGTAAAAATACCCTAGCAATATAACAGATTATTATTATTATTATTTTCTACAAAACCTTACAAAATGAGCCACAATTAATCAAACAAAATTATATTTTATTACAGCCTTTGTGAGACTTCTACCTAGACACTGCTATTCGTCAATTCAGATGATTATTATGAATTTTGTCTATATTTTTGTTGAATTGTCTTATAATGGTCCTTTATCAGCTCACATGACCCAACAGGTTAGTGGGAGCTATTGAAATCATTTAGTGATGGTCATCTGTTAATTTTTCATTTTTGTTTTCACTTCACTGAAACAACAAGACCAATTTGATTTGTTTAATAGAAAAATCCTTATTTCATTCTGATGAACCAAAGAACAAACTGACTGTTGTTAATAATTTAACTTTATTTGCTAGTTCTAATTTGTATCCTAAAGTAATCCCCTCCAACCTATTTCTCAACACTTTCTTTCTATTTTTCATTTTAAATTCATTACCTGTTAAAACAATAATATATATATCATCAGTTTTTGTTTCAACTAAACAATTAAAGTATAGTTATAATTCAACAATGATTGAAATTCAGGATATATCAATCTTTTTTTAACACCACAACAATTTAGACACATAATATTTATATAACTTTTAAGGTAGCACAATACAAAAGCAACTAAATTTTATCAAAATTTCATTTTCAGCTGTTTTTGTTACTTCTTAATATTCAAAAACCACAGAAGAAAAAAATATTTACATATCTTACACTGTTAATGAGTTTTGATGATAATTAGTTTTATAAACAAATGCATGTGTCTGACTGATGCAAGATAAAAACATGTGGGCAGTACTATGTGGTTAATCAATAGAATCATTTGATAGCTTTACACCACTGACCAGCAATAAAAATAACAGTTATGAAAAAGAGGTGAATTATGGATTTATGGAAAAATGAAGATAATGAATTCCAAATAAAAATACATTTCTGTATTGGAGCTGTCAGGAGAAAAAACAAAACAACTATTTGGAGCTATAGAGGGAATCAAAATATAAATGTATAGATATTAAACAAATATAATTGTACAACAATTAATGTTGCTGATGTTTATACTAGAATTTCTTGAAGAGAACGTTTAAATATGAATTCTTTTTAAAAGAAAATACTGTTGAATATTTCATTTTCAAACTGCAAAAAATGTAAAAAATCTACATTGTGTAAAACACCATATTGTCATTGTATACAATTATAATTCTAGAAATCCCCCATAAGGATCCTCTAGACTGACCAACTGATCATTTTGTGTACACATGCATAACTTACTTTTTGTAACAATGGAAAAAACAAAATATATCATTTTATGTACTAAAAGAATAAAATCCATATTGAAAAAAGTAAATGCAATGTGTAATTAAACTTCTGAGATCATTAATAGTAAAGGTTTATCATGGTGGCCGGAGTTTTGACCATATCAGTAGCAACTGACTTACAGCAAGGTCAATAAAGATGTAACATCTGATTTTTTATGCATAGGGTGTGCATTTTCTTTATATATTTTGAATTGCTGAATTGGAATGCTTTCTTACTGGTCAAAACCTAATTGATTTATGATTAAAGGCCAATCCAGAAGTATCCAAGTATCCCCATGATACATGTGTGAATTATATTGAAGTTAATGGGGTACAAGTAGGAAAATCCTTATTTATTCAATTGTGACACATTCATTTTTGTCATGAAAATATAGTTTTAAATGAAATTAGCTCCTAGATGGGTGCTCCTATATGCCTGATTTTCACACATGTTGTTCTTTGACCAGTTATCTTTAAAAGGGTGTCTCAGATTTCCAAAAACATCAATAGAACAAATTTTATACCCAATTTAATTTAGTGATCTCTTATGAATTGAGGTTGCAAACTTCATTGAAGGTTTATGAGAGAATGAAATACAATAGGAAAAATCTGAGACACTCTTTTGGAGGTCAAACTGTGTTGCACAAGAATCTATAAAATATTTTGGGATGGTATGAATAACAAAGAAGCTAATTTCATTCAAGTGTGGACATCACAATTTA